AAAAGCATATCACAAAGCACAAATAAAATCCTTTATCATATTGCAATTTGATAACAATTACCTGATATTCTCCACTATATCCCTGGGATTGTAGTTAGGTATCTTAGTGGACCAGCCAGTTCCGATACCTTCGGCGCCGTTCACCAGGACCATGGGAATGATGGGAATGTACTGGACCGGCTCAATCTTCTGGTTATCTTCGAATTCGTGCTGGAAAACAGGATTTAATGATATATAACTTTTAAAAATAATTACTAGGTTAAATCACAGGATAGTCACAGGTAAAACAAGTTTCTATATCCATTTGACTTGCTAGTGTTATTGTTATTAATAACATAGCAATATAAAATATAGTAAAACTACATGGAAGCATTTTTTTTAAGAAAAAGCAAAAAATCTTATCGAATTTTGTTCAGTGGTTTATGAGTGAACATACACACATATAATTTTATCTACTTACAACAAGTAACGGGTCATCATGAGGGTGGAAAACGAGTCTCGTTAGTGGCGACATGAGCGTGAAGATGTAACGGGGACTAGCAGAATCCTTGCCACCGCAAAGCCGAGTTCCGAACTGACCACGCGGCTCCAGCAAATTGATATTGTTCGACCCCACGTAGTTTTGCGCCAAATTCACTATAGTCATCGCTAGAGACTGTTCACCTGTGAACAAAGAATTTTGTTTTAGAAGTCTAGTAATGATATTCCAACAGTATTATGGAAATAAATAACAAATAATCTAAAAAAAGGAAAACAATGCCAAGCATGCAGGCTGATCAACTGATAGTAAGCAATCAGTATCACCAGTACCACCTTTTTGGTTTGGTTGGCTCTCTAGGAACAGTTTACCGCAGGCCCAATTTTTGCTCTCTTTCTTAATCTTTACAGACCTATCTTATTTCTGAACTTACGACGTAACAGTAATCAGTTTTCATAGAAATGTGGTGGAAGAAATAAACATTTAGGCGTACTTACCGTGATGGTAAGCAGAGTGTTCTGCAACGGAACCAGCCAATTGAGCTACTTTGACCTCTCGCTTATCGTTACGTTTGATGCATGTGAAGATCACCTTACGCTGTCCAGGCTTTAATCCATCAATCATTGACGGTATTGACCTGAAAGAATAAACAAACTTACAGTCTAAGAATTAAATTTAATGCTACAGTAAAAAACACCGGCCTGTTATGTGGGATAATTATGGCAAATATACTTATGAAGAGGGGATCCACAGTCGCAGAGTCGATGGGGATAGGGAGTGTGTTGATAAGAACAATATACAAAGAGTACTCACCTTACGTTATCTCCATTAGAGAAGAGTACCAGCTCCAAATTAACGAAATCTGAATATGTGACAGCTTTTGTGTCCTTAGCATATAAATATCTCTCCGGAAGACCAATTTCCTTCCTTCGTTTCACCTCGTCCATGTGACTTGTCAGCCACTCTTTACGCTGGTCAGCACCTTTCTTTGAAAATGCCAGCTCAATATGGTGGTCATCTGTGGGACCAGCATACTTAAATTTAATCCTGTGTCTTTCCATATTCTGGAAGTATTCTTTAGCCTCTTTGGATGTGGATGTACCCAAACCCTTGTAGTACTTTATATTGTATGTGTGATGGTTCTCTGTATTGTTCTTCCATTCTTCAAACTCGGGTAATGAGTAGAATGATATTTCCTTATCCTTCTTCGTAGCTTTCACGATAGGCGTAATAAATTCCTCTAAGAATGGCAGCTTCAATAATTCTGGCCAATTGTGATGTATGAAGTTGATGATCAAGCCTTTAATGTGAGATCCGTCTTGATCCTGATCAGCCATAATCATCACTTTACCATATCTCAGTGATTTTAGATCATCTAGGGTATTGTACTTCTTTTTGTACTGGAGTCCAAGGATCTTGATAAGGTTGTTGATTTCAACGTTTTCTAAAACTTGTTTATGTGATGCGTCTCTCACATTGAGAGGTTTACCCTTCAGAGGGAAGACGCCGTAATGGTCACGGCCGACAACACCAAGTCCTGACACAGCCAAAGATTTAGCTGAGTCTCCCTCAGTGAGGATTAGGGTACAAAGATGTGCGTTCTTAGTACCAGCGTCGTTAGCGTCTTCCAGTTTCGGTATACCCTTCAGTTTGCTCTGTTTCTTACCAGATGCCTTAACTAACTCAGTTTGAGCCTTAAACTTGGCCCAATTAAGTACAGACTCCACTAAACCAGATTTTGAAACTGCTGTTATGAATTTCTCTGAATAATTACATTTCGAACCAAAACTCTTTGCTTGAAGTGTCATGTACTCTTTTGTTTGTGAATCAAAGGTTGGGTTAACAATGAGGCAGTTAATGAACACCCACATGTGATTCTTAACTTGCAAGGGTTTAATATTTACACCACCCTTATTCTTTTTCTTAATTATTTCTAAAACATTTTTAACTATACTGTCGGAAACAGTATCAACGTGTTTTCCGCCCTTTGTGGTAGCTATGGAGTTCACAAATGATACTTGTTGGAAGCCTCTGTCAGATAGTGTCAATGCAATTTCCCAACGATCATTCACTTTCTCGTAAACTACCTTCAAGGGTTGTCCATTTTCATCTTCTTTGTCTTTTATGTATAAATCTACATAGTCTTTAAACTTATTAATTTTCAATCTTTCTCCATTAAGGTACACCTTGACGCCTTGAGTCGACATGGCGATGTCATAAGCTCGACGGGACATCAGAGCTACAATATCATCTTCTAATTTTTCCATCTTAAACTTTGCTAAATCAGGGCTGAATATCACTTTGGTGAAGTCGTCATCTTTGCCTGCCTCCTTCACCTTGGGCTCGGAAGCTTTTGTCATGTTAGATCCCCATGTCTGTTTGAAATGTTTCTTGTACTGTTTTGATGCAGTTTCTACTGTGAATTTTGTTGAGAAAATGTTACAAAGTTTGGCACCATATCCGTTTCTGCCTCCAGTAACTTTTTCCTCTTCATCATTGTAGTTAGAGGAGGTCAGTAGATGTCCGAAGATCATAGTTGGAACATACATTTTCTCTTCCTTGTGCATAACCACAGGGATACCACAGCCATTATTGTAAACCGATATTACATTCTGTTCTTGGTTGATTTCAATTTTGATGACATCCATTTTCGGGTCCCTCTGTTTGTTATCAGCCGCATTAACTAAGATTTCGTCATAAATTTTATATAAACCTGCAAAAACAAGTATTTCATTAGATTGTGCAATCAATAACTAAAAAAGATGGAATAGAACTACAATAGTTCTTATACTTACCAGGCACAAAGTTGAGTTCTCTTTGCACCATGCATTCTTTGGACTTGTCAAACACCCACATCAACTCAGTGGTCCGCTCAACAGATCCAATGTAGGTGTCAGGACGTAGCAGAATGTGTTCCAATTGTGTTTTCTTTTGATATATTTTTTCAATTGTGCCTTTTTGTCCCTTGGCAGGAGCTGCGGGCGCCGGCACCGCCTCAGCAGAGCCATTTTGCGCCGCACTGTTCATTTTATTGAACATAGCCTGAAATAAGAAGTTACAGAAGGATTAACAGATGAAGTTGATTAATAAAGAGGTTCTACATCCCCTATTAATGCAATTTGGGCATTACTTAGTTACATGGGCTTGTATTCTGTCCTCAAATATCATCTCATCAAATCAAATCTCATCTAAATTAAATATACTTGTTGTGGTAATATATGTGATTATAATCTAAATCATGATAAAATGATTATTTGCAGGCTGATGCCTAGAATTTATAAAGTATCTATTCACATCTTATCTAATCAGCAGGTGCATCAAAACAAACTTGCATATGAAATGACCAGTTAAATTCAAAATTATTTAAAAATACCAGTTGGGCCCTCTGCATTGAGGGTAGGTAGTTATAGTTCCAGAAAACTTTTATTAGGGCACGTGAATATAGATTGAAATGCAAAATGTAATCGTTCGGTACACGGAAAATAATGCAGAATACCAAGAACAAGGTCAAAACAAGAACTGCAGCTGTAAGGACATGACAATGATACCAAACATGTTTTATTATTTTCACAAGTACATAAGTCAAGTAGAAATTATCTTTAAGTGTATGTAAAAGAGTCGATTTTAAAGTTAACTGGACATAATGACATAGGTTTTAGTGGCAAACTGAATAACAAATTGTAAAGCCTCAAATAATAAAACAAATTCGGCCGTTACCAATTAAAATGCCGCCAAATGCATCGCTTACCTTTATATCAGCCATCTTGTTGGAGGTGCTAATAAAACGCGTGCGATCAACGCGAAATAGCGTTTGTTTTGCTACCAGAATAAAATGTGCACTAATGATGTTCGCCTGTAGAAAATAACATTTTATCTAAGTTTTATTTGCAATTTTACAACCGCAATGTAACAACGAAGACGCCAAGAATAGTAATAGACAATATGGTATTTTTTTTAATTTTGAATTTGTTGACGAGTATTGGACATTGTCTATGGTGTACCAATATAACGGTTGAAAAGCAAAAATAATGACGAATTGACGAATTTCAACTACATTCTGTAATAAGAACTTACTTAGTTTTACAAATATTTTTTGCTGAATGCATTTAATAACAAGAAACCGTTTTCAGATGGCAAAAAACTAGCCTTGCGTTCACTACATATACAAAATTTAAAGTATTGTTAATACTGAAGTAAATGGTTAATAATACAATATTTAGCAACATATGTTTTTTCAACTGTTTTGTATTTATTGTAACTGTTTATCTTTAGTCATAAAAGTTATTTTTCTGAAACTGAACTTGCGTTGATGTTACTGGAGGACAACATGGAAACACTTTCTTGAGATCTGTTTATTACCCACTATTTTCAATAGTAATAATAACAAAAATCACATAATTAACGATTACGCACGCATAACTCATCTTTGCCAAATCAAACCACTCGTCCAAAAGCCGCGTATCCAATGATGAATTCAAATAATCAATTTGCAATTTAAATGATTGTCAAAATGGCATTGTATTTCAGCTGTCAGCTGTCAATCAGTTTTAGGTTATAAAATCTTATTTTGATCTTACAGAGAAAAAGTTAGTTTAAGACACATAAAAATGTCTCTATTATCATACGCTTCAACTGTGCTTAGACGAGCACCTGCCTTTAGACTCTTAACTAAATATAAAACTTGCATAAACAATACAAAAACTGCAACTTTTAGCAGTATAACAACAAAAACAATTCACGATGTGAATACAAACGTTATTAAAGATGTAATTCTATTTAAGTATGAGAATCCGAAGTTTTTCATGTACATGAATATATTTGCTGTAGTACAGTATATGTTTTGGACTTATTTGGGTTTGTTTTCATTCTCGACACTGCGAGACGCGCCGGTTGACAAGTCTGCAATAACCTACGATACTCCTTGGTTTAGAAGGATAAATCTTGGAGAGAACAAGTACAGAAATGCTCTTGGAACAGTCTCTGTAGTTGTTGGTAAGTCCACGTCCACACATCACGTCTTTTTTCAAACTAAGATTTATAACCAAAAATAATCATCAACTTCTTTCACCAATCATGTTTGTTATATTATTATTTCCTCATATGCTATTTATTATAATTTAAATATACTTAATTGTTACAGGTGTGGGATCTCTGTTCATGATCTGGATGTACACTTTACGTTCAGTTCGTTACTTAATACTGAACAAAGGTGGAAAGCAGTTAACTTTTGTCACATACACACCTTTTGGCAAAAACAGGATGATGACAGTTCCCCTAGAAAACGTCTGCTGCAAAGAGTCAAGAAATGTTGCTAAAGTACAATTACCTTTGAAAATAAAAAATAGATGGATGCACTACATGCTTGATATGAGAGGAGAGTTCAAAAATCCCCTGCTATTTGACTCAACTGCAGGATTATTAAGAAAACTGTGAAGCACCTAGTTTTTTAATGTTGCAATTGTTTTTTTATTTATTGTAAAGTGTAAATATAGTTTTAATGTACATAAGCATTTTTATTACTTTACATATTCAAAGTCATTCGGCAAAACAAATATATATGTATACAAATACATCTGTTTTCCTCTCTTTACATGCCCCAGTAGCAGTAATTTAATAAGTAACTTCTCCATAGTACTATGTTAAATATTTTTGGTATGCACAAGATAGAAGAAAATACTCAATAATTATGTAAAACCAGTTTTCCTCAATGGTTTTACTCACTGCTTAACTCCTGTTAGTTGTAGTGTTATGCTATATAGTGTAGCCTTTTTTATCCAATTCAAAAATATTAATCCAGTAGTTCCTGAGATTAGCGCATTCCAATCAATACACAGACACTCATTTTTAATATTAGCTTTTTATGTATAAATATAGATAACCCATAATTATAGCAATGCAATACAACATTTCGCGCGTTTGTTTCCTGGACGCAACAATTTTATGTGTGATCGACAAATTGACACTTCAAGTCTGGGTATGACGTGTTTGTAAACTTGTACGTTGGTAAGCACATCCGTTGTTAAGGAGGTACAATCATCAAATAACTTGAGCCCAGGGTACGGTGACAGAGAGTGTCAGGCAATTTCTGACTTAAGATCTCAGCCTGGAGCAGGTGAAGGAACCATCTGCTCCAGGCTGAGATCTCGGTACCCCGCTCAAGAAGCTCGACATGCAAACATCTCATCACATCAGCTCCTAGATCATCATTACAAATTCTCCCTCATGACCTACCCTGACATGTATTGGGTACCTACACTTACATGCGTGTCGATTCTGCTGAGCTACTGTGTATAATAAACTAAGAATTTGATATTTAGTATAATATTGCACAGAAAAAAAATGAAACAACCTGCTAAGATTCATCAGAAAAATCTTTATTATTTCTTTATAATTATATTAACGGAAATACGTCGTCTCGTCTCAACACAAAATAAAGAAGTACAATCAATAACAAAAAATAAAATTCTTTTTCTTATTTACAATGCCGATTTTATCTTTATAATGGTAAATGCAAATATTGTATACTTTATTTGTGTATTCAATCTTTTGACCAGCCAATATCACTACCAAACTCCTACGCTATATTTGCACCTACCATAAACAATAAAAAGGAAAATAATAATAAAAAAAAATGAAAGTCTTTTCAATATCGTAGACAAGTCATTTTACATCAACTTAATGAGATACATTAGGGTTATTTTGCACTTGCAACACAACAGATTCCACATTTAAAATTATGTACATAGATGCCATGAAACTAAGAATTTAATTGTAACTCTAAAAGTTGTCTCACGCTATATTAACGTGGACTATACTAAGTGGGCATTCCATCAACTTGCCTGGCCGCAAGCAGGAATTAGACACCCTTAACTAACTAACATTTTTCTACCACTTTCAGTCACTTCCAAGTTATTAATTAGAAAGAGTTACCTTTTATATACAAACACAGCTTTTTGTTGTATTGCAAGTACATAATATCCAATTACCTATCACATCTATTCAACCTACTGACAATTTCTGATTAATTCTACAAATGCTTTTTACTAGCTTGCTACAACAAGCTACGAAGGATCGATGGAGTCTAATATCAGATTAAAAAAAATACATACACCTAGGGGAGGGGCGAGCCTTTCCTTGTTGAATTTTCACCTAAGTCGAGTCTCATTTAGTGAACTAGGTCTGTAGATATAGGCACATATCAACTTGCTTATATGTTATAAAATCCATGTTATAATAACAAAGGATTTTTTCCATTTTGTTCAGAACTTCATGTTCCCTACTCACACTAGCGACATCTGTAGCAAAGACACAAAAACAATGATGAAAATCCAACATGGAAACCAACATCGCCAAAAACCTCTTTAGACAAAAAGTGTTATTTCAATACAATTAAAAGTTTAAATGGAAGAAGTGACGTCATCGATCCTTGAGAACTATAAAATTAAGTACAATATTATTTCTTATTTACAGTAAAGTCATAAATATTTAATGTACTATAATAAGTTAATGTTATGGCCCCGCGATGTCGCGCGGCGCGGGAGCAGTGTGCAATATGGAGGTCGATTATACAATGACCGGAACTATTTTGTTTTTTACCTTTTGAGCGCCCCGGTCGGTTATAGAAGACAGACAAACCGTTTTTAAAAAATACGTTTTCTTGCCTTATATTGTGGCGGGTAGCGGGTAGTTGGGCGGTTTTGTTTGCCCCGACCGCAGCGCTCACGTAGCTAAAGCGCTACAACACCAAACCCCGACCGATTTAAAGCTGTATTTGTAGTATTTGTAGTACAGATAAGTCTTAAAATCGGTGGGAGTTGGGTTCCAGAGATTAACTTGGCTCAAATCATTAAACATCAACTTATGTAAAAGATCTCCCGGCAAGCCATCACAAGTGACAGATATCATCATTAAAAAGGTTTCTCATGCATTGTCACACTGCATTGCAGTTACACTTACTTTCAACTTTCCCTCCATTTTCATTGATTTAGATTTTTTTATCTATGTATCGTATCATAAATCTATGCTAACAATATTGTATTTATTTATAATCACATATCAACTATGCATACAAATAAAGATATAATAAATATTATTAAAGATTTTATTAAGAAATGTTTGTACGAGAACTCAGAGTGGCTACTGATTTTAAAAGTCTACGGAATAACTGTACATTTCAAACATGAAATATTTTTATTATGTGTGCATTTATGTTTAAGAAGTTATCTTTAGAAAATAGAGGCGGGAATTAGGTCTAGGATTGTCCTGATATACACAAACATTGGTAGAATAATGTACATACAGTATTTTATAAATATAAGAATTTGAAAGACTTCAAGATGTTGTTTTTTTATTACAAGTCGTGTCAGATCTAGTCACAAATCAGATTCGATCAGGTACAGTCCTGCACAAAAGAGCAACCTTCCAATTAAAATTATTATAAATTTTATTTACTGAGAACCCATTATTTACTGCATCAGAGATATTACTTGTAACATTCTTATAGAGTGATATTTTTGCTAATTTTTATCTTAACTTCCGTGGCCGCTTATCTAGACTTGAATAAAATTAAGTACGTTAAAAATGCGCCACATAGCTTCAGAACAAATAATTATTGGACTGCCCGTATCTCTTCAGATTACTACATAATTTTTCGATAAAAATCCACCCTCAGGTCAATATTAGTAATTAAATAACTTTCCAAATAATCATGATCATTCATCAGTCTATCGCTTAATTATTAAGTCTCAGTCAACAACAAACAAAAACAAAACAAAAGTACTAAAAAAAAACAAATTATTTTGTACTCAATATTGTTATCAAGCAAAAATCCTAAATCGTTTTTAAACATTTTAATCAAATGAAGTTGATGTAAAAAGTCCATAGTCACGATCATCGTCATGTAGTCAGTTTTTTTAGTCATAGAAACGTCGACACGTCATAATTTTCTAATTTTCTTGTCAAAATGATGAATGCTGCCATCTAGTGGCATAGCATTAAATTACTCATAATTATACTGTCTCAGACTGAATGACAGTCAAATCAAGATTACTTTTTTATCACATTCCACCAATAAACAGGATATTCACGTACAATTATAGTTTTAATATATTTATAGTACACATACCTATTCTTGACAGTCAAGCGAATTGGCAAAGTAACGTCAATGTCACTTAATCACAATATATTACATGCATAAAAGAATAATGGCTGAACATATACATAATATTTACATTCCAGTTTAATAATATACATATTATTTATTTAATTTAAATTCTATTGATTTACAAACATAAATGTAGGTATTGTGTGAGCAGAGCAATATTTTGGGGGGAAACTTCACAGTCGCCATGACACTTGAAATGTCAGATGTCATTTTTATGGTCAAATACAGATTATACAGGGTGACAATGTCAATGAATTTTTTGCGTAGTATATGCGGATAAATCAGTTTTAGTGCAATTTTGAATGCATGAATTATCCAACGCAGATTCCCCTATGAAAAAAAAAGTCATGCTCTTTACTAGCGCGTCAAATAAACGAGATATTAAACATAGTACAGTTAATTAATTTACATTAATTTAGCCACAAAGAGGCGAATGTTCTGTCTTATATTTAGATCTAAAATATTTCTTTATCTAGCAGAGGCAAAGTTCACATTTTATTATCACAAATCTTCAACTGTCATCCTTTTTTAATTCACTTATACTCAAAGAGTTCTGTTAACGACAATCTGTCACATTTACAGACACATATTACAGATAAATATAACATTTTAAATGGGAATCGAAGCTCTTACTTGCTCGTCAACTATATCAAGATCACTATTACAATAATCAACATCAATAAATACGGAAAAGATACGTCGAAAAACATTTGAATCGGATCATAAACTATTAGTTTTAACACGTGGAGAAAATAGTTCTTATGTCTCTGTATTTAGTGTTCATTTTCACTTTTTAGTACCTAGGACCTAGGTACAGTGTATAAGTACTGGAGTGTCGAAGTACATTTCGCCAGTATGATCGGTTGTGATGGTTTAGTACCTACGGTCGCGGCGCCGGCGTCAGTCGGATAGGTACCGGTCCGGTTGCTGGTCCCGGTCTTCGTCCCGGGTCGGACTTATGCTCTCTATCTCGTCAACCTCCTCGAGATTCTTCGTGCTGGGGTTGCAGAGTCTGGAAGATTTAGAATTGAAAATTGAGTCAATAATTGTATTGTAATCCTTCGTTTTGAATGGAGGTGATACGATGTTATTAGGTAGGTAGGCACAATAACAAAGTGATTTCTGCGAATTGACAGAGAATTAGAAAACTTATGAAGTCGGTTAAAAATACATTAGGATCGAGGGAGTACACCGCAAAATCTTTAATAAAGCTGATAACGGCGATAAGCGTTATTAACAGTTGGGAATGTAGTATGCAACGCAAACCAACAAGGCACGGTAATATTTTTGATTAATGTGAATAAATCAACCTTTCAAGCGTGGTAATACGAGACACATTAGGAAGACAATAGGTGTGCGGACGCCGGCGTTGATTTGGGCATTGATTAATTAATATTGGTTACCTTAATTTTTTGACACACATTTTTTTAGCGTGTCTGCAACAGCGATAACTATGTTTATATAATACATATGAATACGAGTATTACCTGCACTTGCAACAGACGATGCAGGGCGCTGCCAACAAGAGGAGCGGACTGGCCACCAACAACAGCAGTCCGAAGCCTGCAAATATTCCTACCACCTGGAAAATAAAATAAAACATGAGTTTCGTTGCTTTTTCATGGAGTGGGAGGGGGAAAAACGTTCGCATTGGAGTACGCCTTGTAAGTGAAGTTAAGAAGAAAGAGCTTGAGAATCCCTTTTGCTTTAATCTAGGCGAGAGAAGTTATTTGATGATTCTCCTCCCTCAAAAAAACCAGACGCCCAAACTTCCCACTCCACCCAACATCCTCAATCATAGTCCTTAGCCGGCCAACGGCCGTAAAAGGCCGGCAACGCATAATAAGACAATGTTTAAGTTATAATGCCCTATACGTAACCGAATGACCAAAAATCTAAAAATATATTTTGTTCGATAATATTTTTCACTGCAAGAGCAACCCAGAGTACTTTTTCTTACTTTCTATTGTTTTTCTTTTATGGAGTTGGTACGCTCTGGTGTACTAACCACTTTTCCAATGAATGTTTATAAACTGAAATAGTGAGCTACATACCTGTGCACGGTGCCATAGTACAGATGCGCGCGAGTGTCCCAATTTGTTCTTGCAAGGTCCTTTATCATAGTGCCGCAACAGAAAGTCATCCTGTAATCAAAAGATTGAAGTTTTTATTAGCAATCAATTAATTATCACGCCATTTTGCCATCCCAAGTAATGGGTAAAACAATAATATAGAAGCCCCAATTTTTTGTTGGGGAACATTTTTAGGTGACTTCTCCCGGCCTAAGCTTTTACTATGACAAACAGTATTATATTCAAAAACATTTTTTTCATACAAGTACTTTAGAAACGTCGAAAATAGACTAAATATTCTGTCAGTCTGTCAGTCTATCCGTCAGTGAAGCTAGGTGCTAAGGTACATGACCGGAGTGATAGCAAGGTCTCTCAAAAATCTACCGCGAAACAATGCATGCATGCAAAACATCTTAGAAATTTGACTTCCGACTTATGAATTTGACTTCTGACTTCTGACTTTGACTTTGGTTCCGAATTTTGACTTTGACTTTCATATTTCTCATAGCCAATTCCCAACGACGAAACTGTCTGACCAATAAGTCAGTCTTATTCACAAGTGTAAAACGCACTTAATTGATTACGACCGGTTAAAATCTCCGAGACAGCAACACCGGAACAAATGCAAAGGTCAGGGCTTCTTTAAAGTTCATACATTTTTCATTATTTGTAAGAACCATGCAGGTAGTTGTAATGGCCTTTTACATGAAAACAATGTAAGTATGTGATGACAGTGACACGCAATTTTTCGCATTTTATTAGAAAATGAATTTACTCGGTATTTGGAAAATATATTTTTTCTAATCAAAGGTTTTTATGTGGCTTCACACTAGAATATGCTTCCAGTCATGGGTGCGTTTCAAAAATTTGCATTACACCTAAGAATTGATCCGCTGGGAATATAGTTCGCGATACGTTGCACAACGCCCTGTTCTCCAGCCACTACGCCAACCGTGTCGTTTTATGAACTATAACTTTTTTGTGAGGGCAATAATGAGGTTAGAGGTCACATTCTTACTGATTAAAACCCCTCCTGTTGCTGCTTTAGGCCGAGGCCGGGGTACCTTATTGCGCCAGCCCAACTCTAGTTGAACATCTGCCCTGTAAGGCTACGTCTGAAGTGGTCTATTGGCTTTTTCAGACGCGCGCGGAATGCTACGCGCCTTACACTCGGGTCTGGTTCTGGTTGGGTAGCGAACTACCAATCTGCATACCTACTACTTCAACTTTATTTATAACAGCCTACTCTCGCGAAAAACTGACAAGACAAATCCAAATCAAACACATATCAAAAACAGACACGTAAGTAAATTGTGTTATGACGTAAAAATGATATGACATGAGACATCTCTCTTATGTGCTCAAAGGGAACGTCAAAGAATAGAACAATTTTGCTATCAACAACAGATCATCTTTGTACCTTTCACGTATCAAGCCTATTTTTAGTTTTCTTTAGAACATGGTTAGGTACACACTCAATTGGGCGATTCTCTGTAACGATGTTCAATAAGCAATCCCTGACATTGATTGAATTTATTGAAATTAGTTTTTAAAAGTCAATTAAAGTAAAGATTTTTTTTATAGAAAGCAAACGAGCATACGTTCAGCCTGATAGTAGTGCCAACCATTATGGGGGGAAGTAGCTGGGCCCAATGAATTTGTAAACAACTGATCTAAAACACCAAAATCTCTCCCCAACTATGATGAACCTTTTGGGGTTGCAAGCGCAATAATCAGTCGCGGGTTCGGCCCGAAACAGGAGAAGGAAGGAGTGGTTTTTAGCCAAGAAGAGCCTTAAACACATGAATCTTCCATTTCAAACAGTCAGACACTGGTTAGGCAAGAATTTTATAACACAATACAAACATTGATTACCTGATAATTTGACAAAGGGCCAGTAAACCACAACGAGTCATAGTAACGATAATGAAACACGTAATTAGTAGAAACATCATTGTTTAATGCTTGTGGCGCGTCGTAAATCACATTTAGCATGCGCGCTATACGTGTCAAGGGAAGCATGGCCGACGAGCGATGGTGGTTTTTCTGCGGATAATTAAAAGACAAAGTGTGTTTTGTGCCCGGCACTAATACACGTCGCACTTGTACTCGTGTGATTTGTAGGTACTACAAGTAAATTTAACATTTAAAAAAATAACGTTTAGTATCTCATTGAAGTATCCGTAAAGGCGATGAAGTTATAAGAAAAAAATATTCTGCGATTACATGCAAATTGGTAGCGACGTGTTGAAAAATAAATCTGTGCTAACTTTATTTCGCTGTATCGGCGCAGGCTCGAAATATAAAAACGTGAGACAACAAAAAATACTATGCTGAAATAGTAAAAACTTATGGCATACATAGATGGACAACAATGAAACCGCAAACAATGAATCAAAAACCCATAACTAAGACAGAAACTCCCAACAAATCATTATCATATTAGCCTATACTTAAACAAATCAACTATTCCAAAGGCAACCTTAAAATAAGGTGCGCCAAAAATGTCGAGCAAAATTTGCCATCCACTCATTTCACACAAGAAGACGGAGATGATTAAATTCAATCAGCCTAAAAAAAAGTTAACACAGACAAATAAAATATACTTACATCAAGTGAAGCCAAACAGTACCAACAGAAGACGTGCTTGCATCGCTTGCACATCATCTGCGCACAACCCTCGTCCTTCTCAATCGGCACCCTGCACATTGGGCACAGCTTGATGAGCTCGGAGTCAGGCAACAATGGAGCACCAGCACCTCCCATGGATGATGACGCTGCTGCAGCTTCGCAGGATAGACCTCCGTGCCACTAAAAAATTATAATAATCAAATGTAAATAAGTTGTCTGGGGGCCATTTTTTGTTTCTTTTCTTTTTTTAAACAAACGTTGAACACCTTTTTTTAAACAAACATACCACACTAGGATTTTCTCCTGTGCCGTGGTTGAGTTTACAAACATACACATAACGCCCAGACTCTGAACAACAATTTATAGATCACACAAAGAGTTGTTCCGTGCGGGAATTGAACCCGCAACACATTGCGCCGCAGCCAGTTGCCCAGCCACCGCGCTAAACGTGCAGTCAAATTCAAATTTCCTAACCGGCTGCAAGTATCAGAAGTCACGATCGTGCGGATTTATTTTCTTGTTTTAGTTAAATTGTGTTTTAGCTGCTTTTGAATATTATCAACGCAGAAATGTAAGAATGATTTCCTAGACTTTAAAGATTCCATATCCCTAAATTCAATCTTGTAATTTTCACTGGGCCACGATTCAGCTGAACTAAGCTTACGAACTCAACTAAGCCTTTTGAACGCAGCGATTCAACAACAAAGCATTACATAATTTTCCGAAAATTCCGTCATAACATTAAAAGATTCACCTTCAAAGCCTAAAATGTAAAGGTCAGGTCTTTTATCTATTTTAAGACTTCTATTTTTGAACATGTTATGAGAACTGTACAAACAACGCTTCAACAAAAATAAAAAAAAAGAATACGGCGTTTAAGTTTTTCTTTTTTTAAAAATAAAACGGAATATTTATGTTCGTGAATTCTATTTTTGAATTCAGTATCGTTGTTTTGTAGTGTTTAAACCATGCATACTAAATACGCATAAAAAGAGTTTGATTAAACTGATTTAACGAAATCTTTACATGTATTAGTCTAATTAAGATTGATAGATATGTCGCAGGGATATGATGAAAACAGGGATTTGGCCAAAACCCTAAGGGATTTGATCAAATCACGGAGGATGTTAAAATAAGAACACGTTTTTATCATTTCCCTAAGCAAATCTGGTGATTTGACAAATCTCACTAAAGAAATCTAGTGATTTGAACAAATCCATAAATTGGTTCAGTTAAATGACAAAAATAACTTTTGTGATATTTTTGTGATTTGATCAAATCCCTTAGGGATTTGGCCAAATCCCTGTTTTTATCATATCCCTGCCACAGATATACATACAGCGAGATTGATAAGTAGGAGGAATTATTTGAATAAAAATAGAGTTGGTCATTGATAATGCAATGTGATAGGATATAACAGAAAAAGCTTAAGTAAAGAAATGGTCCTCCGACCATAAATAATATAAGGTCTCGAATAGAAATTAAGAAAAGAGTAAGAGCTCCAATTGATTTAATAGCATTTCTCGATAAGTGGATGCGACATAGAATGGTTTTTTCCAACTTGTCACAGTATTACCTGAACTTCCAAACGAATAAACAAATAAAAGTATATTGTTAACATACGTAAATAAAAATACTAAGTTTCGTGAGGGAGAGCCATGCTTCGGCACGAATGGATCGGCTCGACCGGAGTGATACCACGGCCTCACAGAAAACCGGCGTAAAACAACCACAGCGTTGTGTTTCGCCGTGGGAGTGAGGTTACTGGAGGGCCAATCCTTTACCTTCCCCAATCCCGAAATCTCTTAATCCCCAATTTCCAAAAGGTCGGCAACACACTCGTAACTAATCTGTTGTTGCGGGTGCCATGGGCGCCATGGGCGGCGGTGATTGTTTACATAAAAAAATCTAGCAAATAAAGGTCTTTTTCCATACATGTGGCTACAAAAGACGAACGTTCTAAAAATAGTGTCAATAAATTCTTTCAGAAGGCATTCAAAAGGACAAATCCTGGTTCAGACGACAAATCCTGCCATCAAAGCGGAATAACAGTCGTTCAAAATGAAAGGATAAAGAGTTGCGCATTGAATACAAAATTATCCGCGATGAAAACGTTGGATGTTGGAGGGGATTTTACTATTTTAATGTTATGTGAGATCATGTTTAGAAGTATGATTTTGTGGTTTAACAACGTGGCTTTTTATTGCCTGTAGCCTATACCCATAAACTGGTTTAATATGGCATATTGTGCCATATTAAACCAGTTTATGGGTATGGGATATAAGGAATTTCGAAGAACAGAGTAGCTTCAACATGAATTGGCCAACTCGAACGAAGTGATACCATGAAAATTTCCAAAAGGCCGGCAACGCACTTGCAACTATTTTAGTGATGGTAATCAGTCCATAAGCGGTACCGCTTCCTTTCCATCAGGCTAAAATACTGATTGCTTGTCGGCCTAAAAAGAGCTGACTAACGCTTTCACGAACTCTAGAATATATAAAGACCTCAACAATCGCGATATTAACGAATATGGTTGATGGCGGGTACCCATTTCAGATACTTTGAATTAGAAGAAACGTAAAACAATATTTTAAAACAACTAGGTTACAAAATGTTAATCAGAGACGAGTATGGTGGTCAGTTAAATTCCATTACTAAAAGACTACTTAGGCTTAAAGAGATTCGGCCAAATATGTAACTTACGATTGCACAACGCACTAGAATTAGATAGGTTTTCAAATTTTCCAAACATAATTTTAGACAACGTACTAACTACTGTCTCATTGGTGATCGCCAATGTAGCTGCTGAGGGGTCTCGGGGGTTTTTGGAAATTTCTGGACGCATAATACCCGATATAATAGCTGATAAAAGTGTTTGTCCAATCAGTGTCATTATGTGTCGTTGTATGCACATTTGCCTACCTGATTAATACAGATAAAAGACATCACAAGTCAAAATATATCAATTTTTGAACCAGATAATCAGTTTAAGGAATATTTCCCCCAAGACTGCTGCAAGGTACAGCAGTTAGTGAGCTGACCTCACTGGAAGGGGGCGCATTGTCCACCACACTCGACCCATTTCCAGAGTGCGCCCATAAAAGCCGTTCACTACTGTTGCAGAATAGCATTTTACAGATAAAAACTCTAGTTTTGTGTTATGTACTAGATGTCTATAGTAGATTCAGAAAAGGTTTTGAAAATTCGACGTCTACCACTGAGAATACAGTTCTTTCTTTAGCCCAGCTGTTTAACTGCATTAGGTTAGCACAGAGTTTTAAAATCAGTTTTTGTTTGATTGAAAACAGATTCGTTGTCAAATGCTACTTACAACATAAGGGTGAATAGAAAGAGTGACCTCTAGAAGCTAGTAAATATGAAAATTCTCATAAAATGCTTTTATGTGAAAAAGAAGAAGAAGAATAAAGCTTCAAAATACCCTGAAGTGAAACACACTACATTTAAATTAGACTTTACGCTGCTTTAACCACAGCTATTATCCGACAGCACAAGAAACTCCGCGCTGTACTTTTCTCGGTTTGTCTGGGGCCATGTGCTTGCAGCGGAACGCAAGCTGAACAAAGGAATTAGTGGGGAAAGCGAAACGGCCTTGTTGTTTTGGACAATAGGGCGTACGATGAAAAGACATGTTCTGCCGCATTAACGGGAGTAGTAAGTTACACGTACTACACATTCGTAGAAATGTATTCAGAGCTGATGAAAGGTGCTCGGAAAGTTCATAATATATGAAGGACTAGAATAGCTTATGGAGGAAAATAAAATGAGAGGTACTGGTTTTCTTAAATTTAAGCTAACTTAGGATCATTTTTAATTTGACGAAACGAATGTTGTTTTAGCCAACTAAGTTATCAACACGTGGCTATATTTATTGAAGACGGGATTGATGAAAAGAAGCAATGACAAGCAAAGAATAGCTGGACAGGTACAGATTAAAGATAAAATTTCGTTTTCGTCCTTGAGGCAGAAGACCGTTTTGGTGTAACCAGAAGTAAGGCTCTAGGATAAGTACAAGAGGAAGAAGTAGATACATATAAGCTAATGAATTCTAATTGTCTGCATATATTATAATACACTATCGCATGCACGGCTTTAGTTCCACCCACTCGATTTAAATGCCATGACATTTCCTACACGTGTTCATCTCCCTAATTGCGTTTAGTAAACTAAGACATGAATTCTTAGGGCTTCCATCTTGTGAAGCAATCCAGTTTATGTTGCATTAAAGACACAACACGTGTAGGAACGGCTAGAGGGAAAATATACCTTGTACTCGACAAATAAGTTTCAATGCATACGAGTATGTCTTTTAACTAGAAAACCCTGTTTCTAATTTCTTAATCAGTCAATATAAATGAGCTGTGAAAATGTTAATACGTGCATATCTCCAGAATGACTTAATAATCGGATAAATGTTTCTTTTGGTCTATTAATTGCCAGAACGACCGACAAATTTCGGCAAGGCTTTTTTATGATGGTGCCTTATGCACGTAAGCAAAAATTCCTTACCTCCTGGTTGCACTGTGAACAGAAGTCATGCCGGCAGGTTGGGCAGTGGGCTGGGCTAGCCGCACGTACTTGCACCACTGTGTCACAGCCCACGCGAGGGCAAAACGCACGTCCAGCGTCCATCGCCACCTCTGCAAAGAAAAAATCGATTAGAATAGAAGATACAACTACTTTGCTAAATAAGGATGACAAAATGATGACCGTGCTACTAACAACAATGTCTATCAATCAATATTTAGATATACAGAAAACTACATTCTTAGGTTTCAAAGAAATAGTCTAAAATCTCATGAGAGACACGCACGATGATTTGAGAAATCCGGCAAAGCTTTTGGAACAATCGGATCACCTGATGGTAAGCGATAAGCTCCGCCCAAGGACATCCACAATACTAGCTGTTACTACATAGATACCTTCAAAGGGTATTTCAAATGCAGTCTTAAAAACAGTTATTTCTGTGTAAACAAATCAATATTTAGATAAAACTATTGGATCTACGTCCAAAAAGATCAAAAAAAGGCTTCTTTTTTTATTTTTTTATGTTATAGACCGGCAAACGAGCATGCGGATTACCTGATGGTAAGCAATCAGCGCCGCCCATGGACACCCGCAACGGAGGAGTTACGAGTGCGTTGCCGACCTCTTAGGAATTGTGGTGTTTTGGATATTAAGGGATTGGAGAGGGATCGGGGGACTCACACGGCGAAACACAACTTCGATCAGATAATGTCCATTCATCCAAATACTCACGTCAATACTGAACAAGACAACGAGAATTTACGACACACTCGTTAAAGGAAACGGAAACAGCAGCCATAATAATGCTTTCCTTGATCTGTACTTCCTACAACATCATTTTATATCTTATCTTTTTTTAATGTCGTTTCATGAACTTTAACTCTATCTGACCTTTCTGACATTTTATTAAATCTCAATTAATGTGTACGTTTATTGTGGGTTTTCCGTTTACTTTACTTTAAGTTAAAAGTCCAATATCCGATGTTTGCCTACAAGATTTTTTTTTCGTATTTGGGGAAACACAGAATTGAATCATAACAGGTATAAAATGTCATTCAATTTTGCAGATATAAGTAAAAATATTAATGTTTTTGTGTAAATATTGGTATGGAATAACCCCAAGAAATAAAAAAAGCTCGTTGTTAGTCAGAAACCAAATCAAAACTAAGTAGAGGATTCTAATCATATCGTGAATGAACTTAAAATCAAGCGCCACCAAAGAGTCCATAGACCACCACAGATGCGCCCAACAGGCCCAGTGTTCAGCCGGGATTGCGTGGCAAATAAGGCATCGCGACCCCATCTAGAGCAAGAGAACGAATGGAGGGGGTTTTAAGGCAGTAAGAATCTAACACTCCCTCTTGCTTCCCATCTTGATGATTTTCCCCTAACAAAAAAAGTCTCAGGAGACTTTTTATTGGTCGGCGTGCTACATCGTTACCCGTGTCATAACTGTCCATCAGGCTAGTAGTCACCAGTTTGTTCCGTTCATTGTTGGACATAAAAATCTCAAATTGCATTATGTCATATTAATAATAATGCAAGAAAATATCATGGTTCAAACGCGAAATGGAATAGACTAGGAATAGAACAATTTAAAACTCGGTAAAAAAACATCGAGCAAGAAAATATCTACAAAGCAATTTATTGAGAATCAATAACGTGAAATATTTTCAGACGATTTCTGAATTTATGGAAAAATTGCAAATGAATAAGTTCTGATGTATGCATGTCTAGAAACTAAAATCACTGAACGAATGTGGATGAAGGCATTGTTAGACAATAAAAGTTTGGAAGATCCATGCTTCGGCACAAATGGACTGGCTCGACCGATGAAAGGAGTGATACCACCTCGCAGAAAACGTTAGAGTTGTGTGTTTCACCGTGAAAGTGGAGTTATCGGAAGCCCAATCATATCCCTTATCTTCCAGCTTCGAATCCCTAACCTCCAAAAGGCCTGAGGCACACTTGTAACTCCTCTGATGCTGTTGCTGTTGTCTATACCGGCACTAATTGCTCCAGGTGACTCGTAACTAACTTTGCTAGCGAACCATATTTCTTATTTCTTTTTTTTTGTGAGAAAATAAACTTCCCGAGGCCTATATTAACAGCTGGGAAGCAAGTTTATATACATATATTAATTTCACTAAGAGATAAGAAAATCTGTTTGTATCGAATTTAATAAAAAATAACCCATTTTTTGTGGGCATCATTACCAAACCTTTACAGGCTTTCACGACATTCCTACTGAACTGAAAAATTTTCCAGCACGCGAGCGAAGCCACAGGCAGAAAGTTAGTTTATTTAAAAAGTATTAAGAGCAAGCGGCGCGTGAGGACGAGACGATTGGATGGATTTTTGTTCCGATCAAATCCACGTTCGGATTACGGTTCAGTTTATACCAGGATTTTATTGGAATGGTCTGGTCTTTGGAATTTTGGTAGATGTTGCGTCATAAAATTGACGTAGCAGATGCAGATTTAATAGGACAATGATTTGCTTTATGATACACTATTTGCTCAATTAAGCGAATTATTTTTATTAGTAAGTTCATTGCATCAGGGAAAATTTTGGAAAATCTTCAAACGACGACCTATTTACATTGCACCGTCTTTAAGTAAATGGCGCAGAAAGCAGCACATCAAACTACCCAGGACCGTCACAGGTATTCAATTATACTTTCAACATTACCATTTGTTGATAAAGTCTTAAATCCATTGATAGGAACTTCTACAAACAATAACAGACGCAGGTCATCCTACACAAATCTGTCAATAACTTTTTCGTAGAATTTTCGACTTTTTACCAAAAGTTTAAAGTTGAAAATCTAACAAAGGAATATGTAAGAAAGGAGTGGGTTGATCTGCTGGTGTCTGTACAATAAAGTGCGGCCATGGAGCGGATAATCGTTGTTTAACAGAGCGAGCGCAATGCACGTCTGCAGCTGATGAGCGCACACGCATCGGCGAGGATCGAACACACAATCAGAGCATGAACAGAATACCATGTATTGTAAATTGTTTTTTTGTGATTGTGAAAAGAAAGAGTATTTAAGAGTATTGGTGTTATTCGGAAAATCTGATACTCAACACTTTTATTATAACACAGCCGCTAACTAGATGGATGGATGGACAGATGAATTTTCGTTACTCTTCCAAATAAATACTACAGAACGGATCTAAAATAAATTAGGCATAGAGATAGAATATGTCTGGAATAATACTTTTTTATGTGATAGTTTGGCAAACGAGCAGACGGCTTACCTGATGATGCAACAACAGAGACCTTTTGGGGATAAGGGATTGGGGGATTTAGGGATTGAGGCGGGATTAGGGGAGAGGAAAAAAGGATTGGGCCTCCGGTAACCTCACTCACACGGCGAAACACAACGCTGTTGTTGTTTCACGCCGGTTTATTATCTCTCCGGTCGAGCTGACTCATTCGTGCCGAAACATGGCTCTCCCACACTTAGGCTAATTAGCCTTGGTATTGCGAGGGAGGCGTCCTGTACAAGCTAGTCTATGTACCTATACATTAAACCACTAATTGTATTCAACACAGTTTTGCTACTCACCATGATTCAATCTAAACTTGAGATGTTTCTCCATGACTGCCGGTTCCACCAGATCGGAGATCTCATCCAAATTGAGTGCTGCACCAACTCTGCATCTCGCATCTGGACACGATACTTCGTACGCTCCATTGCACACTTCAAATTCCACGTACGCTTTCATACACTATAACAAAGAAATACAAATAAATTAATATTTGGATAATGAAGGACATTAATCTACTACACAAAACAATAGAATAATTATAGGGACATAAAGAAGAAGAAAATCACATTAGTGAACTAAGCGCTGATTTTTCAATGGTTAGATAAAAGTTATCTGGGGAATAATTATGATGCTGTCGCGTCGCAATGTTTGTATAAGACAGTGACAGCAACAATTTTATTCCTCAGATGACATATTTATCTGACTATTGAAAAATCGGCCCTTAATGCTATATGGGAAATGGTTTAAGTTAGCTAACAATAAGGTCGCGGGTCTGCGAACGGCGATCAAGGGTTGCTCGCCACCCGGCCGTAACCAGACCCGAGCGTACCGACCACCACAGATGGATCCTAACTGACAGGGTTGATGGTGCAAATAGATGAGGCAAATAGATAAGGGCCAAACGCAATCAGGTACCACAGACTCGGTCTACCGCAGAAGACGGAATGAGGTGGTAATTAGTCAGTAATAGTTTGAAACTCCCTCTCACCCAGGACGAGCGAAGTAACTCAATGATTATCAAAAACAGCCTAAAATTCAGTCAAAACATGGAATTTCTCAATTAAGAATCAACAACAATACGCTTTTTTTTCTTAAAATATGCAAGATCATCGCATGTGATTTGTAGGCTTTTACTTTTTTTAGCTATAGATGACCTTGGTTTACCTTGGAGTTCCTAACGTGACAGATCGATTCACGTTTCGAGCTGACCTTGGCTCTAGGTTCATTGGCTCGGTAGGACGAACTATATTTAAACTCCAAAACTAGAACTATGGTAGGTTTTTTTTATGGCTAATTTCCTTTTCTATCTAGAAATGTGTATAGTTATTAAAAGTGCAGTGCAGTTTTGTTATGGGTTGAGTGGATGATAATTCACCATTAAAACTGCATTTAATGGAGAGATATCAAATGCATATTAAGCTATCTCTATGTTGTATTTCTTTAATATAATCTAACCTTTATTGCTTTGTCAAAAAGTGGAAAAGATACTTGACGGATTGGGACTTGTTAAAAAATGGTTTTAGATTGAGATGAGTTGAAGAGTTTTGCAGCCCTTTCAAGCTTTCTTGATTGTGATGGGACTACATGAGAGTTTTGTCATAGGTATTAAAAAATCCTAATGCAGGGTGTAGCGGAGTTTCTATACATAGTTCAAAACATATTCGGCCTAATTACAAAACGAGGTTTTTTAGTCTAGGTATAAACCATTAAAATAAGTATGATTTTTTATATATAAAAATAACATTTACTTTTGGCCTAAGTTTGAACAACCCTAGGCCAAAGATAAATCTTATTTTGTAATAAGCGGCATGATATGTGGGCTTAAGAGACTGCCTTAGACTTCTTGATAAATTTTCGGTCAATCTAACCGTCATACTATATCTTGTATATTCCATAATACATATCACTTAAGCATATACAAGCTACAATAATAAACTGTTGAAAGGTCCTTAGTCTCTAAGCAAGCAGTTGGAAAGGTACATATCAGAAATACACGGTTTTAAAATGAACACAATTTAAGTAGGGAGAGAAAACTCGACACAATAGATTTATAGCAAAACCATGGCTTTATTGTTGACTGTCTCGGTTGTGGGTGAACTTTAGAAAGGGGAAAGCTGATAGCATATCTGGGTGCAGTACTCCTATGTAGTTCAACTGGAACTAATCTGTTGGAGGCGGTAGTGCGAACGATGGATCTGTTATTTTATATTTGTGTCTACATTTCCAACGAAAGAGAAGATCTAGTCTTTCATTCTTAAAAGGAAAGCGGTGCATCTTTTAGACTCTTTTTTATCAAGTCTGCACGGTTGGTGCGGTGGCTGGGCAACTGGCTGCCGTGCAACGTGTTGCGAGTTTTCCCGCACGGAACAACTCTTTGTGATCCACAAATTGTTGTTCCGGGTCTGGGTGTCATGTGTATGTGAAATCGTATGTTTGTAACCGCACCCACGACACAGGAGAAAATCCTAGTGTGGGGCAATGTTTTTTTTTTTTAAAAAAAGTCTATGTATGTATAGTATCATCTGAAACCTTTTCAACAGAATTTATGATATAAGTCTGGAATAATTGTGTCTACAGTTCAAATAAGACTTATGTTAGACTTATTCAGTTCAGTAAACACGCATTTAGGCAACCTGAGCTTACAATAAATAACCTTAGAAATAACCTTCATTGATTTAAGAAAACCTTCTAGAAATACCTTAAAACATCCACCTCTAACAATTCACCTAAAGTAAACGGTATTTTTTCGACAACAAACAGAAAAATCTCATTCGATGTAATCGTTGACAACACGCTATCCGAACTAATATAAAGTCGGTTTGTTGGTTCGTTTGTAACGTATTTACGCTTTATCTACTCAACCAATCATCTTGTTTTGAATATGTATAATGTAGTTGGGGAGTATGGTGAAGGTCGGGGTGAATTTTGGCAGGCAAATCCGCGACTAAAGGCTTATTGTTTGATAAAAGTAGAAATTGATTTTTTTTTGTAAAGAAATTCGCAATTTGCATCGATCGGAGAATGTCGCGTGTGCCGAGGTATTTATAGGCAACGAGCTACGGTTGTTACTGGGTCGGTAATCAAGTTCTAAGTTGCTGGTTCTACGGAACCCATTATATAGAATTCTAGATCAATCCTGTTACAAATATAAGCTAAGTACTGATAGCTTTGTGGTTGAAAAAATGGTTTTGAAATCAATACGACGATTTGTAGTATGTATTCCTTTTTTTAAACTAAAATAAATGTTAGATTTCTTAACAAAGGTATTTCATATTAATAAATATGTTTAAGTAATTGTTATGAATAAGCCTTTGTCAGAGGCTTCGCCTGGATTACCAGGATAAAAAGTGGCCCATGTGGTATTCCAGGCTATAACCTATATCTACGAAATTTCATTCAGATGCGTTCAGTAGTTTTCAAGTAAGAGAAATAGTAACAAACACTTAGGTACAAACTTTCGCATTTATTAGTAGGCTTACTTCTATTAAAAAATAAAATAAATCATTATAGAACTTATCTAATTGAATAAGGACATAATATACAGGGTGTAAAAAGACACTTCACGAAGCCGAAAGCCACGTATTCTACCAATTATTTGGATATTTTTTTTTCTTTAAGACCATAGCTGGGACTCCACGGGTTCTCGATATATATAAGGTCTGGATGCAATTTTAATTTTTGTTTTTTGCGCAATCGAATTCTAAGTATTATTACAAAACTTTTTTCCAAACAAACATTACCTGAATTTTCGATTTTTCTAAATAAATTACGCATTTGAAGTTACGAACAGTAATGTACGTAATAAATAAATGCAGACCTGCACAAAAAACATCGTGCATCTCAGTAGGATGTTTATTTTACAGAATTGTTTTGTTGTTGTGAAGTAAAACGTCGACCTACGTACTTATCACAACGTTTTAATGCTAAGCTGTGAACCTTCGCACAAAATGACACGAAGCCCGTTTGCTTTACATTGCGGGCAATAAAATTATTATTTTTTTTTGATACCTAAAAATAAAAGTCGTTTCCCAGTGATAATATTAGCGTAAAGCTACTTAGTTATAACTGCAGTATGCGTAGTTAACGGCTTCGTTAAGTGTCTTTTTACACCCTATATATTTCTTTGAAGACAAAATCTACATAACTAACTCGATGGCGAATGAAACAATACCACAGAAGCAATTACATTGATACGTCAAAACATCGCAATCTGTCCTAGTAAATGACAATATAATTAATGCGATAATAGTAGCTATAATAGAAAATATTTGTATTTTTGTCGATAATTGTAATGTATAGCGTGCTTTCTATGTATAATTAAATAATGATGAATGATTATACACTGGTCATCTTGTTAAACGCGATCGCAATACGTGTAAATTATTATTTTATTTATTTATTTATTTTATATCACAAAGGTTCTTCATCATCATCTTATGTGCTAAGCCCCAAAAAACCGTTGTAATGGTTTGACTGAGGGGTCAGAGAGTATCTTAAATAACAATTAAATTTACTTGTAACTAAATACTATATATATAATGACAAAGAACTTGCAATTACATATATAAAAGTTAAATAATTTGTAAATAATATAATTTTAATTTACGCTTGAATCTTTTTATATTAGTTTCTCTCCTTATGTCTGCCGGCAGACTATTCAATAAATAAGGTATTCTCTTTTTTAATGTTCTGTCACCAAAGTAGTTGGTGACTCTGGGTACATTAAATCTACCAGCAGCCATAGATCGTGTATTATGGTTGTTCTTTACATAAGTTATGCTCTTGGATACAGTGGTGGTTAACTAATAAAAGAGATCTATGTTTAAGAGTAATCGGTAAATAATAATATAATTATTCATTTGTTTTTTATTAAATTAAAGGACAAGACAAAAATCAATGGGGTAATCGTAAAATACAATAATTAGTACTTGAAAGAGGTTAAGAAATGTTTAGTATTATATTATAATACTTATTTTTAATATGTGCGTGATTTTTTTTAATTTTTTTTATGTAATAGATCGGCAAACGAGCAGACGGATTACCTGATGGTAAGTAATCAGCGCCGCCCATGGACACCCGCAACGGAGGAGTTACGAGTGCGTTGCCGACCTTTTATGGATTAGGGATTTGGAGATTTAGGGATTGAGGAGAGATTGGGGTGGGGAAGGATTGGGCCTCCGGTAACCTCACTCACACGGCGAAACACAACGCTGTGGTTGTTTCACGCCGGTTTTCTGTGAGGCCGTGGTATCAATCCGGTCGAGCCGACCCACCCGTGCCGAAGCATGGCTCTCCCACAATTTTTTTTGAAAATAATTATTGAAAATCGGGACATAGTTACTCTTTAGATGCCACGGTGGTTCGGTAACAAAACTAATAACACCAAGGCAGTTGAAAATCATTCATTTGTCATCATTACGCTGAGTATTCCCGTACTTTTCTTAAAAAATCCCGGGAAA